TCTTGATTCAGTCGGATTTAAGCTTAAATCAAAAGGAAATCCGCTTAAATTAAGAGGCTTGGTTATTGATTTAAGCTAGATTCTGATTGAATCAAGAGTACTTTTTCTTGTCGATGTTTTTAAGAGTCTGGACTCTAGATCCGACGTGTTTTTTTTCCAGTGAGACGTCAAACTGCTATGGGCCTGTTGGAAACTTCAGCCGGAGCAAAAAGAAGAGCTGGTTCTCCCTAATAGAAAATGGCTCAAAAATCACTATGAGCGCATCGAAAAAGTCGGAAATACATTCCTAACTTCATGATCTGCACTGGAAAGAAAAACACATTGGGTCTAGAGTTCAGACTCTTGAAAACATTGACAAGAAAAAGGACTCTGGATTCAATCAGATTTAAGCTTAAATCAAAAGGGAAATCCGCTCAAATTAAGAGGCTTGGTTCTTGATTTAAGCAACAATCCGATTGAATCAAGAGTATTTTTTCTTATCGATGATTTCAAGAGTCTGGACTCTAGATCCAATGTGTGTTTTTTCCAGTGCATAGATAGTAAATCCAAGTTCTCCACGTGTGAAGAACCTATAATTACCGCGACGGAACGGCAACGTTGCCCGATGAATCCATCAGACCAGCTGTAAATCTTGTGGGTGAACATCCATGCGACGATACCTGCGAATATTAACTCCTTTAGAGATATTCACGAACGGAAACCGGCTGATTTCCGCGGTATGGAATCATAAAACGCCTTCAAATGGGATTCAAGCGACCCGCATATCCGCAGAGTTAAAATAGTTGTATGCAGCATCACAGCGTTAATCCGAGAGGAATCAATGGCCAGGGAGGAATCGTTCGTATCTTAAATTCAAAAGGTGTATTAGAACTTCGGTGAAACATAAGAACAGGGTGCCTGCCTCTTTAGTGAAACGAATTTGAAATATCACACAGTTTTGGGTGGAACTGGGGATTTTTGTGAGGGGCCGCAAAGGCTCTTCATTGAGCGAGGTCTGTGGCGGATTACTAAAAGACACCCCACCAAAGGGCATCCGTGGGACTGCCACAGTTTCAAAGGAGAATTCAGAAGATTTCTTGGCTTCAATTGGGGGTCCAAGTAGCCACTCTGGGAACATTTTGAAAAATACAGTCGCTCCATCAGCATTTTTGAGCTATTACCGACAACGAATGGTTTCAATTAAAATTTCAAAGAGGAGAAATGCATCTGGCAGAAAACGTAGAGAACGCCCTGCCAAATCGTGGATTGAGGCAATAAGGCAGGAAATGAGGAGATGCAATCTGCCGGAGGAGCTCCGGTAGGATCGCTATCAATGGCGGTCGGGTGTCACAGAGCGCACAGAAGCGCTTTAGGAGTGACTTGTTAGTAGCAGTAAGATGCATCAAGCTTTCAGTTAGCAAAATCCCTCATATTCTGTGATAGGGGCTAGACATATTTCTGGGGGCAGTCCCAGCCCCCCTCCTATTCAACCCACGGGTACACTAACACTTAATCACTTATAACTAAGTAAAATGTGGTTATCAGCTCTGCAAAATGTCTCGGGTCAAAATAAAGCTACAAATCTAGCTGATAATCGTCATATGATCCCAATAAGCTCCACAATGCCTCATGAACTTAGGGAGGAAATTTATTTGTGGATTTAGCTTTGCTCTGAGCGATATTATCCTCAGATATTCATGTTGAGGTATGAGTGTCAACAAGGTGGTAAAATGGTTCTGGGTCCACACCATTTCGCGGGGAAAACAAATAGAAGCCAAGAAATTGTTCCCCCGCGAAATGGTGTGGACCCAGCACCATTTCTCCGTGCCGTGTTGGTGTTCAGGTCATTTTTTAGTGTTTTTTCTCGTTTGGTATGAGTGTCAATAAGTGCCAATTTTTAACCAGGATGTTTTCGAATATATGTTCTCAGTGGCAAGGCGGTTTATGTCTTCTCGCTTCACCCGGTTATACGACGGAGAGTCCCTTCATCGAATGTCAAAACCCTTCGATCAGAGAGCACATCGGAATAATCGGCCTATAATCTCTGATTTTACGCAGATTCAAGAAGATTTTCTCCGATTTTTCGGAATAAGAAGCATGAAGCAAGGAACAAGGTAAACACTAAATTTGTACCCTCAAGTTGAAATTAAAATTTTCCAGTTTATCACCATATGCCAATAAAAGGGATATAGATGCCTAGAGTACAGAACACGTATCTCCGTTCGCAATGTCTCAGACTTCCTGTCGTATAACTACTTTAATTTTTCCTCGGGAAACAAGTCAAAGTAATCGATTAAAAAATTCCTCGACTTGCTCTCTCAGCAAATTATGCAGCATAAATTTCAGGATATACATATACAGTTGGCTTCCTTCTCTTCAAACGAAGAAAATAAGAGCGAACATTTTGAAATTTCGCATTAAAGATATGTAGTTTTGCACTTTTGCCGTCAATATGTGATGAATGAAATCTACAGTGCGTTGGAAACAAAAATTCGACCGACCCTACTGAGAAATAAGTCTCACTCCATTTCCACCACACGTGAGAAATTATTTTTTGATAACCCTGAAAATAGTGGGCAGTGGCGCCACGCATTTTAAGCCAATTCTCCGCCACTGTCTACTATTTTAAGGACTTTCGGAATAGAATTTCTCAGGTGTGATGTAAAGGAAGCGAGACTCATTACCTATCATTTTCGTACTCAAACCCTTTTTTTTTTTTTTTTTTTTTTTTTTTTTTTTTTTTTTTTTTTTTTTTTTTTTTTGAAGTTTCAAACGTACATTTTTCTTTGTTTTCGAGTTATTTCATCACGAGACAAAAAATGTTACCATACCTGGAGGCTGAAATTCGGGGACCAGCAGACCTGAAAATTGCGAAGACCAAGTCATTCAGCCCAAGTAGCACAGACTTCAATAAGTAGCAATTGCATAGCAAAAATATTGCAATGGGCCTGTTGCAAACTTTTGCTAGAGCAGAATGAAGAGTTGTTTCCTATAGATAATGCCTCAAAAATCACGATGAGCGCATCGGCAAAGTCTGAAATGCACTCATAAATTCACAATCTGCGTAAGAAATTTGCGTTATTTTGAGCTTCCCGCTTCAAAAACGATACTACTGCACAGGTGAACATTTTGTTAGATGAGTCCCTCCATCGTCGGCAATATTCATCATGGCCGACGCTTGCGCAGTTCCGCGAGTAATTCGAGGAGAGTTCAAGATCAATTAAGGCGGGCGAGGAAAATATAAACGTAAACACGCCGATTGTTATCTGATTTAATCCTGTTCAGATGTTATCTCGTCCCATCACACGTGTTTTGGCGGACTGGCGTCGGCCATGATGAGTATTGCCGCCAATGGAACGACTCCTCTGACAAAATGTTCACCTGTACCGTAGTATCGTTTTCGAAGCGGGAAGCTCAAAAAACCGCAAATTTCTTAGGCAGATTGTGAAGTTGTGAGTGCATTTCAGACTTTGCCGATGCGCTCATCGTGATTTTAGAGGCATTATCTGTAAGAAACAACTCTTAGTTTTGCTCTAGCAAAAGTTTGCAACAGGCCCATTCCACTGAGCGTTGTGTATGTTGCCTAGCTCCTATTTGAAGGGGCCCCGTTTGTTAAAACTTATTGCAGTAAACGTGAAATAAGCTGCAATTCTTCGTTGCATTGTACATTGCCTATCCTTCTGACACATGAAGCTCACTTTCTTGGTCGTTTAAAATCGGCATAAATCGACTAAATGATGTAAAAATATTGCAATTTCATGCCAATATTTTTGTTGTACTGTGCTACTTGGGAGGGACGATTTGCCTTATTGCATGAAATGCGAGGGATGTGCCGTGCGACTGAGAATTCAAATTGTAGCTATGTTGTTTTGTCCTTATAAAGTGCTTGTCGTCAGTGCAACTGCAAAAATGCGTATCTCGGTTGTGATGTTTCGAAATATTCGCTCCTGTTTTATTTTTTAAAAGGAGACCTGCGAACCAACATGATAGTTTGAAGTTTTCACCGGATAAAGGGAGGAGAAATCAAGAAATCAGGGGAAGAAGAAATCAAGGGAACAAAGAGAGGAAAAATCCCTGAAGTTTTCAAAACATGACGTTCAGTAGTTTTCCATGCAGAAAAAAAAGTATGACAGGAAGTCTGCAACGCCAAAAACCGAAGTACGGATTTCTGCATTTCGATGTGTGATGTAATTAAACACGTGTCTAGTAAAATTTAATTTTGGATTTTTGTGATAATTTAAATGAAATCCCTTAGATTTTTTGGGCAATTTCTCGCGGATTTCCTCGATCCATAGCCAATTTCTCTGATTTTGCCTGACATTGCACGAATTTACAGCCACCAAGTTGAATATGCATGAGACGTGAAAATGACGGCACATTCTTCAGGGTGTCCAGCATCAGGATTTTTCCGACTTTCCCAATTCCATCAGGATTTGAGGTCAATCAGGATTTGAGAAAAAATCGGTTGTAAAATCAGGATTTGAGAAAAGACGGCCGTCCGATCGGATTTTGTCTTCGGGCTTTTTTTGTGATATTAAGTTTTCTCCGCAAAAAATCAGGATTTGGAAAAATTGAGAAATCAGGATTCAGCAGTAAAAAATTAGGATCAACCATCCGGATTTCCCAAAATGAAAAACAAAACTGAACACTCTGTTCTTTTTCTCTCAAATCTATTTTTCTCTAATTGCCCATCTAAGAGGAAAATCTTAAAAAATACTGTGAACTCAGCTTATCTACGGGCAATAAAAGTTTCTCGTATAACTTCCCCACCGCACCAATCCTAAACGCCATAATTTTTCTTCGCAAAAAACCAGGATTTTGAAAAATTATGAAATCAGGGTTCAGCAGTCAAAAATTAGGATCAACAATCCGAATTTCCCATAATGACAAACAAAACTGAACACTCTGTTCTTTTTCTCTCAAATCTATATCATAATCTATTTTATCTATCCAATTGCCCATTCAAGAGGAAAATCTTAAAAAAATACTGTGAACTCAGCTTTTTTTTCNGGGGGGGGGGGGGTTGAAGAAAGAATTTATTTGATTTTACAAAGAGGAACTATCCGAGACAGGAGGATAGCCCGAAGGCCTATTTTACATACTAAGCGAAGCCTATTATATTTTACATTGCTTACATTTGTATTCTGTGAGAAGCCCCCCTTTATGTTTCCCTTTAAAGATACTTATATATAAATATGTGGCTAAAAGATTCCTCTGTGAACTCAGCTTATCCATGGGCAATAAAAGTCCCTCGTATAACAACCCCATCGCACCAATCCTAAACGCCAATCGCACCCGATCGACCTTTCCAACAGCAACCCTCCTCCCCCGTTGCATCAGTGGCCCCCTTAATTAGCATGGCAAAAACCGAGGTGATAACGAGTTAACTCTCGGCCGCCGCGGAGGGGGGGGGCAGACGTAGCGCGGCATGCGCCCCGTGACGTCACGGCGACGCGGCACCCCGGCCTCCCCCTCGCCGCCGGTCGACGCGCCCAGCCTCCTTGGTCCAACGACCGTGGCGTGGTCGATGCTCAGTGGCGGCGTTGACTCCTTCGTTGCGCGATGCTGCTTCCCGCGTTGCTCCCGGCGTCCGCTCCGGGCTCGCGCTTATCAGTGCCGGGTGCGATTTCCCTCTTTTGTTCGGTGGTTTTTTGGGTGTCCCTCTGTGCTCTGGATCCTACGTCCGCTTCCGGCGCCACCGAGAAGTTCCCGCTAGGTGAGTCTGTGTCTTCCGTCTCCTGGAAAAAAAATGAAAATGAGACATTATCGACGAAAATAATAATTAGACGAGAATAGGGACCTCACAAGTAGCCCTAATAAGTAGCAACTGAATGGTCAAAATATTGCAATTCCACTGGGTGTTGTGTTATGTTGCCTGGATCCTATTTGAAGGGGCCCCATTTATTGAAACTCACTACAGTAAAATTGAAATAAGTTGCAATTTTTCATTGCATTGCATATTGCCTATCTTTCTGACACATGGAGCTCATTACGTTGATTGTTGTTTCAAACGTACATTTTCCTTTGCTTTCGAGTTATTTCATCGCGGGACAAAAAATGTAACCTAAGGGCTGAAATTCGGGGACCAGCAGACCTGAAAATTGCGAAGACCAAGCCAATCAGCCCAAGTAGCACAGACTGCAATGAGTAGCAATTGCATAGTAAAAATGTTGCAATTCCACTGCATGTTGTGTCGTATGTTGCCTAACTCCTACTTAAAAGGGCTCCATTTATTGGAAGTTATTACAATAAATTTGAAATTAGTTGCAATTTTTCACTGCATTGCATATTGCCTGTCTTTCTGACACATAAAGCTCATTTTGTTGATTGTTTAAAATCAGCATAAATCGACTAAATGATGTAAAAATATTGCAATTTAATGGTAAACAAATTACAATTTTATTGAAATCAAAATGCAACTTTAATTTCAATATTTGCATTGCAATATGCTGCTTGGGCTTGCTGCTAGAAAACTGGACAGCGTATAGCAGACCAAAATAAATCGTCTCCCAGGACAAAAATCTTCCTCTGAGGACGAAAATTGAAAGGACGATTTCAACGATTTTTCCGCAAACGGAATCCTCCTTTCAATTTTCGCCCACAGAGGACAATTTTTGGACTACATTTTGCAATTTGGAACTATAAATTCTAGCCCGGTTTAAAAACAACGTATGTACCATTAGTTTCCCTAAGCACATAAGTGTTGTTCCAGAAGAGCCAGAATTTATAGTTCCAAATTGCAAAATGCAGTCCTTTTGACCTCAGGACGATTTATTTTTACTAGGGGGCGGCGATTAACTTGTAGGACAGTGAAATTCTTTGCCCATTGGAATATGGTTGAAATAATTTCTCATCATTGGGCCACTTAATATGGTGAGAATCAAAACATCACGCGATGAGTTTGTCCGTGAGTCTGGATCTCCCGTGCCCCCCAAAAAAATCAAAATGAAAAATAAATATTAATAAATTCGAACCACCTGATTGGGGACAAAACCTTGTTGCCAAAAAAACTGTGGGCAGAATTTAGGCGACGGTAACCAAATTGTACAACAGAGAAATGATCGGCTCGTTAAAAATAAGTTTTAGAGAATTCCTCACCAATGGATCACTCGATAGGATAAGAAATAAAGCACCACGAGATGTGTTCGTTGGAATGTTGAACCGGGTCTTTCGTGTCCTGAAAAAAATAAAAACAAGCAGTTAATAAAAATAATAATTGTGATCGTTTTCAGGAAAAACACCTCAAAGCTGAAAAACTGTGTAGCGTTAGTAGCCGGTAATCAACCTTTGCGATAAAAAAAAGTACATTTGAATTATGTTTAATTTAATTTCACCTCACTGGACCACCGGATATATTAAGAATCTAGCACTCAAGATTTGTCCGTCCGGATCGTCTGTGCCCTGAAAAAAAACATTAAAAATATATAAATATAAATAAATAAGATAAAGAAGGAGAAAAATTCTCTTCGTAAAAATCTTTATTCGTATATTCGGGCTATGTTTTTGTGCTTTATCGTAAATAAATAAGTAATAATTGGACTGCATTTTGCAATTTGGAACTATAAATTCTGGCTCTTCTGGAAAAACACTTATGTGCTTAGGGAAACTAATGACACATACGTTGTTTTTAAACCGGGCAAGAATTAATAGTTCCAAATTGCAAAATGTAGTCTAATTGTGACTATCTACTGGAAAAAGGACCTTCCTGTTAAAAGCTAGGCCGAACTTGGCAGACGGTGACCAAATTTTAGCACAGTAAAATTTTCTGCCGATCAGAACCGCAGTTGGTAGAATTTTTCATCAATAGAACACTACTTGATACGGTAGAATTTTTCATCAATAGAACACTACTTGATACGGTAGAATTTTTCATCAATAGAACACTACTTGATACAGAGCACAAATTAAAATACAACGAAATGCCTCCGTTTCCTCACCTGAATTGTACACTGAAAACGTTCAACGCGTAAAACCCCAAAATTGACTGACTCATGTGAAATTAATGTTTATAATTAACAATAGAATCAGGAGATGTCAGGGTTTTCATCACTTCAAAACATATTTTGCGTGCGATTTCGATGAGGAGACATATTATCATATTTGATTTAAAAAATGGACCGAGTTCAGACAATTATTTAAATCGGGTATAGAAAAAAAAAAAAAAATCAAACAAATCATTTGACAGATAAGCAACATAGATTCTAAAAATTCCTCCTAATCTGACGCACGATATTTGTAAACTTGCCAGGAAAAATTTAGCATACTGAAATTAGCTTACTTGCCAATTTGCTACTAGTATAATCATTGGTGTTTTGACAAGCAAAGAAATTACTTCTTTCAATTTTACATGATATGGGATGAAAAATTGCGCGTGTATTACCCATCGATAATTTTAACTTAACTATTTTTTTTTTAACATTTACGAAATACGGGGTTGGACTTGAGTCTGAGTGAAATGGACCTGATGCGTTTTTCTTTTTATTTTTATCTTTATTTCCCCCAAACATATATTAAATAGGTGCGTTTGTTCACATAAAACAGAAAAAAGCATGCCCAAGATTATTCAGATTGCTTTCTTTGCAGAAATATTATGTGTGGCTCGTTTGCGGAAATTTGCAGAAGTGAACAAATAGAAACTACAAGCTTTAAGTTTCTCATATGCGAGCTTTTTCGCTAAATGTAGTCCATTGATGGCCGCTCTGGCCACAAGAAGAGGAAGATCGAAATTCTTGAACACTTTAAGAACAACGGGAGCTATTTCGAGTTTTCATACACCCTTCGCATCGACGGGATGCAACTATTTTAACTCCACGGTTGCGATGGGGTAGACCGAAAAAATTGAAGGCGCTTGTTACTCGTGCGACTTGTAGTTTCATCCTCATACGATCGGGGCCGGTTAATTCACCGGCTTAAAGAGAATGAGGAGAGCTTGATTTCGAGATCCAAATTACTGAAATGTAGCTCTCTCTTAAAGAAGGTGACTTCGTCCAAAATTTGCCGAACTTTCTGCACGAATTTTTCAAAATTGCACTCCAAAAAATGTTGCTCCTTGAAAAAGGAAAACATCATTTTTTTGGAACCGATTCTTTTTTCATTTTTACGAAAAGCGAGTTAAGATCTTTGCCCTTCGTAAACTTTTTTTCTGGCATTCTTTTCTAAGAGAAAAAATAGCAAGGTTTAAAGCGACAAAAGAAATAGAATTTCGGGATCATAACGTTATGCCACGTAAAAAAGGACAAGTTGATGTAATGCATTCATGTTCATAAAAAGTTAAAGACATCGAGGAGTTTACTCTTTCAAAAATTAAAAATTGTACGATCAATTTTTTCAAATTATGAAAAGTCTATCAGTAACCTTTTACGACACAGCTGTGTGAAAAACGACACTTCACCTCGAAAACTTACGCACATAATCGATATCGATTAAAAGAATGGTTCGAATCCGAGAGGAGGGGCGCGTATTTCCTTGACAAATCAGGACCATTCGGACGTATTTCTACCAAAGGGAACTACGTGCATTGAGACATGAGCCCTGAGACCCATAAGAATAATGCATAACAGGGCTCACGTCATAATGCACATAGCTCCGTTTGGCAGAAAAACGTCCATTCGAGAGTCGAAGAATCGTCAAACTGGAACGACGTTTCAGAGATTCCGCCCCACCCATCGTTTGTCTGCGGAAAACTCCGGCACGTCCGAGAGTTTTAATTGCGTGTTAAATTATCTCCATCTTGAATTTTCGTCTGTGTTCATTCTTCACTCTCAACTTTTGATCGTGAAAATTCAAGCGTTCCTCCGCCGGTTTACTTACTTTGCCATTTGCATTTTTAGACCGTCCATCACTCTTCCCTCTCTGTTTCGAGGGATTTTTAAACTCGCGTCGCGTCATCATTTCAACAGAGGAAATTATGAGAGGTCGCTCCAGATTCGGAAGTGGAGATCATTAAGCTCTGCCGTGAATTAATGCAGCTGTGCAAACATTTTGCAACATTTAAGAAGAGATTAAAAACGGCTAGTAGCCCATAATGTATAATATGAGTCGGTGGTATATTCATGAAGAGCCGTGGCCCGGTCCTTTCTTGTCCTATTGGGTAACCCGTTTTGAAGGGAAAATGTGTTTATTTCGTCCCTGTTTAAAGAATAGGCCTGCCCACTGGAAAAAAAAGTCGCTTGGATTTAGGGTCCAGACGATTAATAATATTAAAAAGAAAAAGTACTCTTGATTCAATCCGATTTTTCTTTAAATCGAAGAGCCGCGAGCCTCTTGATTTAGGCGGATTTCCTTTTGATTCAAGGAGAAAGTCGAATTGAATCAATAGTATTTTTTCTTGGCGAGGTTTTCAAGAGTCTGGACTCTAGATCCAAGCGACTTTTTTTTCCAGTGGAGGAAATACGTCATATGAGCCTTCACACTTTTGCCAAACATCCTCTGACCATTCTTGAATTTTCGTGAAAGTTTGCAAGTTTTTTTTTTTTTCGATTTGTCAGAAATTTGTTAATAATTAAATCTAAAATTTTCATGAAAAATATTTATATTTTCCTACAAAACTAGGTTTTCTGAGAGTAAATTTGGCAGCATGCAATGTTGTTTGTGATGTCCATACAGTGTTTTCCTGTAAGACGGAATTGATGCTCTATGAAAATTTAAAGAAACATGCTGTAGATTTCCTCCGAAAGTATGAAGTAAGCGAAGGAATTTTAAAACCCCGCGATCAAGATACAAAATTGTTGAGCCTAGTGAATGGTGATGCGATTTGCAAGAAGAGGCATGTGCGTCAAAATTGCTTCTTCAGCATGTTCAGTGAAGGCAAATTAGGACGGTTGACTGAACCCAAGTTTTAGAAAATTGGTCCTCCCTTCAGAACTTTATGAAACCTTGAAATTTATGAGAAACAAGATGAATCTCCATTTTAAGATGATACCTACGAGTATGTCGCTGTAGGAGCGCGACATTTCAGGTTCGAATGTTACCAGGTTTCCCATTGAGAAAAAAAATAGTCAGAAAATCGGCAACGTCTGATCTGCCGCGCTAAGGAAAAATGCCGTATGAACCTTCAGACATTGCCAAATTCCCTTTGATACAACACGAATTTCCTGGTAAACCGTGAGGATATCTTTGTTCAAATTTTTCAGAAAATGTCTACAATATAATTTCGAACATCGGAAAATTCTAGGGAAAATTATGCAAAACTTTTCTCAAAAATTAACATTTCAGTGAAGGAAATCTTGCCAGGGTGTCTACTAAAACATGCTCGCCAAGGATCAGTACTTTTTCAGTACATTCCCACGGAATTCAGTACCTCCTCAAAAGAAACATTCAGTATTTTTTCAGCACCTCCAATTGACGAAATTCGAAAAATTTCAAAAATTTGAATTTCTCGCTTAAATTGAGACAAAAATGACAAAAAAATGAAACAAATTCCGGACCTTTTGCGGAATTTCCGCACTTTTCCAGTACTTCCGGACTCCCTCCACAAAAAATCGATACTATTTCCAGACTTTCCGGACTTGTAGACACCCTGGAGAAGAAGGTGGAGAGGGAGGAAGAATAGAAAAGGAGAGGGGGGGGGAAGGAAGAGGTGGAGGAGAGGAGAGAGAGAAGAAGGAGATACAGAGCAGGGAGGAGAGTGAAAGGGCGAGGGGAGTGAGGAAACAGCAGAGAGGGACGAGAAGTGACGTCAGAAGGAAAGCCGGACCTGCGGAAAGAAAAAACGCCTTCGATTGAGAATGATACTGTGCAACACACGGAAGCTTGAATAGTTGTATCATCCTGTTGTTTGCGAGATTCCAATGGTTGAAGTCCGAATCCACGGAGAAGGAGAGATGTGGAGAGAGACGGAGAGATGGGGAGAGGATGGAGAAGGAGATGAGAAGATGGGGAGAGGAGAAGAAGAGAGAGAGAATAAAGAAGGAAGAGGAAAATTACAAAAATTTGAATTTCTCGCTCAAATTGCGACAAAAATTACGGAAAAATGAAAAAAAAAACCGAACGTTCCAACGGAATTTCCGCACTTTTTCAGTACTTCCGGACCACCCTAAAAAAAATCAGTACTATTTCCGGAAATTCCGGACTTGTAGACACCCTGCTGGAAATTCTCGAATGTTCATACGATGTTCTTCCTTAGCACGGCAGTGATGTAGTTAGACTGCCCCTGTCTAACCACGTCCAATTCATCCTTTAAAATAGAAAGGTACTCGTTGAAAAGGACAGTAGAT